CCCAGTTTGGTTTAAGGATTCGCATCGTCTCAAATATTAAGAAAGATTATAAAAACAGCTGAGATGCGAACTTCAAACCGTCCATGCCACCATGTTTAATTACCAGCGTTTAATGTAGTAACCGCTGGACCACAATACCGCTGTTTACTCCAGCCCAGGTTACTTGCTCTTAAAGTTGCCATCTGTGTCGGTTTTAAAATAGGACCAAAGTAAGAAGCCAGGAAGCGTAAATTAACAAAACTAATTCAGAAAAACTCATAGAAATATCCAAGCATTAAACTAGGGGAGATAAAAATTTCCGCTGTTTAACAACATTAATTCGGTTGTCGGTGTCTTATTATCTTTCTTTATAGAATAGGAAGCGACGTTGAAGAAACTTAAAAAATTAATTATTTCAAGGGTGATTACAGGCCTCTCTAAAGGATTTATATATTCTCTATAGAGTTGATCTCATAGGTTCCCATCACGCAAGGCTAGAGCTCTAAGAGGCTCTGTACGCGTGAGGCTTGGGACTGATGACGATTTTCCGTCCAAGCCTCGCGCGGCTTTGCCGCTAATTTTCGCGAACTAAAAATGCGTATAGACAATTAATGGCTAGCTGCTGAGTCATAATTACTGACCAGCTTTAGAAAAAACGCCTCGGGGTTATACGCGTTGAATTATAATGGACCAGCAAAGATTAACTCCTACAAATTAACAGCGACAGAAACTGCCCTGAACGCACCCACTTGATTAGTTCTTAGAACTATTTGGGTGTCCCAAACTCCACACAATTAACATAGTATTTAAACATTCTTTTCTACCTGTCCTTCTTTTATTTCTTAGATATCCTTAGTAACAATGAATCGAAAATTATTTTGGTTTCTTTTTTCGTTTCCCTATTGCACTGTATTCTTTATATTAATATTTGTAACACTGCTGTACTAATTATCACCTCTAATACACTGTATTCGTGTGAGTTTAAATAAAATTGAAAAAATTAAAATTGAATTGAAGATTTGAATTGTATTCTTTCACAGCAGCACGCATTCGACATGAGACTTAATAAAACAAAAAAGGAAAAACTGCTTTTCCCCCTTTAGTTTTTTTTCTTTTCTACGAACTGGCAGTGTTATGCTCTCAATTAACAAAACCTTTATGCCGGCATAATCTTGTAACAAAACATCACCATGCCTCGGGGAGTTTGTTTTACTTTCATAATGATAAAATTAAACTAAACTTCTTTTGTAGCCAGTCACGTACACCATACACAGTGTAAACTTTCAATTTTTTTCGACGAATAAAAATACGGATAAAACAGCTCTTTTTCTACCGTCTTCATTCAGCTGACAGCTTTTAAGGTAAGTTTATCTTTAAAACATTTCAGTTCTTGTCCCTTGTAAAAGGCGAATACACTTTTGAAGATCAAATCAACTACGAATTGCATTTCTACAACCATAATAAAAACAAGGTTTAGGTAGAAATATCTGTTTCGATAAGTTTTTTTGCAAATGAAAAATATGATCGTTCTTAAAAACTTCAGTATTCTGTCGTAAGGTTACGTTCGCCATTCAAGCTCTTAAAGCGTTCAAACTTTGGTTTATTGGCTTACTGTCGCTAGTCTGATGGCAATAAAGCACCAAAATTTCCCGCCGTACCCCTCGCGAAGTCAGTCTAGAGGCAGGGATTATCCTATAGTTGCTGTACACATACATTAATGTGGCATTAGTCTCGCTTGGTTTAAACTAACTAAAGTGTGAGTAGTCTAGAGCACTCAGTAACGCGGAATGGTTAGACGTTCAAAAAATGAAAAGGAAAAACAAGAACAAAACTTTTAAATAGCCTAGCCTCCCTCGATTCTGCCACAGCTCAGTGGTAGAGCGTCCTACGGTCGTAGTTTCGAAACGGCCATAGGGAACCCTCGAAGTTCTTTTTTATCGAGAATGTCTGAGTCATTCACTTTAACATCATCTGTCACTTAATCATGAGCATGTTCACCTCTTTCGTTAATTAATTCTTTCAAAAAGATCATTTATTTCAAGATGTTATGTAATTTTCTCAAACATCTCTTTGCCTCCGGACCAGCTGACTTTTAAACAGAAATCACTCAGCACCATTGATATGTAAAGTTAGTTGATTTGTGGCATGTCGTCGAGGTGCTTTTAATTCTTCCTTCTGCGAGTTTTACTAAACAGCCAGGTGCAAAATACGCAGGCGCAATAGCGGACGGAAATTTGATGTACTTATTTCGATGTAACTACGACTGAAAGAATGAACGTTTTAAGCAAGAGACTGGAGACAAGATTAAGTTGCGGACGGTTTCCTTTCCCTGTGTGAACATAAAATTTACTTAGAATCGGGAGAGGCAGAATACATGAAATGATAATCGAGATCCATCTGGATGAATATCAACAGAAAATAGCGGTCTCCCTATGAATGGAAGGCAACCCATTAAATCGAATGTATGAAAAACTCTGAAAATGAATCATGTCAAAGTTTTTGAAAAAAAATTTTCCTTTTCGATTAGAGAGCAATCATCAGCTTCATTGAATTGCTTGAGATGATATCGATCGACATCCGCCGATTTTCATCGACTGGCATGAATGAAAACTGACGAGTGGCTAACGCTCGAAGCATCAGCTTCAGAAACTCTTAACGGTGGCCGATTTACATCGTCAAATCGATTGATAAAACCTGATTATCTTGTTGTATCCCTCATCGACACGGCACAACAGATTCTTTAGAAACTTACCCCCAAAAATGATATAGGTCATTTGAATACAGTAGTGAGTGAGCCTACAATAAAAAGTGTGATAGTTTTGAGCATTTGAGTCATGAAAATAAGCGGCGAAGCCGTGGGAGGAATGGAAATGTGTAGGAAGATTCGTCACTCATAGTAACGCCCGACATTTTCAACAAGCCCCCGAATAAACCTTCGGCTACGCCGGCCAAATACAAATCATCCTAGCATCAAGGGAGTCAGAAATACCAACCATTCAGGTAGAATTACGTTGCGACACTTTATGTTGAGGTTTACCTTACACTGGGGAATTAATCAGGCAAACAGATGATCATAAGTGAATTTCCTTACCATGCAATTAATCCAAATGCACCATCTTCCTTTACATCCTTACTGCGCATAACTAATCTCTGTTTCTAACATGAAGTGTTAAGTGTCACCCGAATTGGTTTGTTCCACTTTGATACTAATATTTCATACCGACGTTATCAAGGCCATATTCAGTTTGCCAGTTAGAGTGAAAAGGCTATACATAACTATATCCTTACTGTAATATATAGATTTAGCTAAGCCTAAAAGCGGAGCTCGACTAAATTTATGAAACATTACCAGTGTAATTGATATTGAAGGACTGGACTTCTTATCGATGGACGCAAGACCTCTTTATTAATTATTCAAACTAGTGCAACATCAAGACAAGCGACTAGGTCCTGTTTGTGATGGGAAAAAAGATTGAGGGTACTCTTTAATTTGGCAACCAATATAGGATTTTTGGTTATGTTTTTGAAAAATGCCAAGTGAGTTACTCATCATCAAAAATAGGAAATTGGAGCAAGTTAAAACTTATGAGGTTTTTAACAATTTACCGAAATGACATTGCGAATCGGAGAGAGAAGTAACCAGTTTAAAATGAATTTCTATTCTAAAACGGCTTTATTTCCTGCAAACTTTAAATATTTATAATTAATATACCTTAATTTTATGGTAAAAGAAAGATATGAATTAAGCCTTCAGACGACTAGAGTCAGTCTGTGGTTAACCACTCTCGCCGATTGATGATTAAGAAGAAAACTAATCATTCTTCTTTTGCTTCATCCTCTCAACTGCACAGAAAATCATTAATTTCTACCTCATTACGATAATATGAATGTAATATGTTTTTTATTAAACCATTCACCTGTGATGAAGTCAGAGCATCGAAAGGACAAAAAAAAATTTTTCACAGCTACCAAATACGAGAGAATTACTGTGAGATCTCTAAATTATCAGCGCGATAAAAGATATTTGTCGGAGAAATATATAGGACACCAGTGATTAAAAGAAGTATTAATGATTCGGTGAATTTAGACCACTGTTCAGAGCCATTTGAAAAGACACCTGTATAACATGTAATTAACCTAAGAAAAACAAGCTAATGTTTTCCTTTGAGATCATCAGTTTTTAACAAGGCTATTCAACAACCAAGTATTTGAAGCAGGTGATGTTGGTTTGTTCATGCGCATTCAATTTACACCAGGCTAGTTATGAGTAGTACGAGGTTGAAGTCAGCTCAAATATAACACACCCACAACACCTTCACTTCTTCTCAACAGCTTTCCGTATAGGATGAACCTTCGCGTTTTTTTCTGTGTAACGGTCATTTTTGCTGCGGTTCTTGCCCATGTGACCGCGATGTCTGTGCGTGAAGCAAACGGGCCATGGCGAAGAAATGAAGGCAAGTTATTGTTTAAGTTGTATAAATTTCGAGGTTGGGGGCACGCTTATTTTCAAAAAAAAAAGTTGGTAAATCGACTCCTAAATTCACAAAGATATCGTTGTTGTTCCAACAAAGAAAAGAGGATCATTGGAAATCTTAGGAGTGGTAAATTACAAGATACGAAATACAGAACCAAATTGGTGGCGGTTACTCTAACATCGCGGATCGGTGTGTCCAAAAAACATTTTGCATTTATGAATATTCAAAGTCGAAATTCTTCAATTTGCTCGCAAGTAAGTTCCTTCAAATTTATGAATGTCTTTTATTGTAAAGCTTTGATCGGTGAAAATATCTATGTTCAAGCCGCTATTTTCCTATGAATTATCTCGAACTGGGAAACTATTTCACTCGCAATAAACGATAAAGACGCACAGTCATGAATTTGTTATTTAGGTTGTTGATTTTTCTTTAATTTTTCCCGGTGAGAAAAGAAAAAATGTCTTTGTCTTCTGGCCCTATTTCTACGACTACTGAATCTCGTTGTCTCATTGATGTGATCTCATTTCTTCCTCTTTATATCAATTTAGTAGGAGACTTGGATCTAGGGAAAAGAGGTTAGTAAGAGTTAAGACGTTCGCATTTTATTTTCTGTGAGGTAGTTTCCAAAGTGTTTATAGTCGAGTTTGCTCCAGCGTCTCGACCATGATATCAGTATTTTCATTGCCATACAATACTATATTTAATTGTGGTAGTTTTATTGCAATATCGTGGTGAAGTAAATGAAAAGACTGAAAAAACATCCCAACCAAGTTTTATCGTCATGGAAATATTAATTGGCCTCGTTAAGGCGTAAAAGGGGCAGCATAATTTCCCATTGGAGCGGAGATTCAGCTTGTTAATAAGCTTTTACTTCTAATTTGTGGAGCGATTCTCCACGACGGCGTCAATTGAAGTAATTCATCAAAAGAGATTATTGATAGTGTGCATGTTTTTAAAATTTTTAACGAATGATTTCCAGCCTGTCGGGATCGGTATCCAATTTGCAAGCAACCAAGGTATGCCAAGATCTGTAGCCAGAGGAACAATCCGAGTCACGCTTTCGTTCAGATTCGATGTCGCAGAACATGTGGACTTTGCGGATGAGGTAAGAGAATCGCGAATTGATAACACATTATCATCTCTGTGGAAAAAGTCTGCGGTTATATAATCATATTACCTCAGCGACATCGTAAAGCGGCGTTTTTCCGAATTTGATATCAAGCAGCGGTCTCTTCGCCAGCCGGCGCCATCATATTTCACCAATCTGGTCACCGACATCGAGAGGAGAGCCCAGTTACTGGAGGCAGAGAAAGCCAATTTATCTTAGGCTATAGGAGGGAACAAAACATTCGTTAGATTTTCCTGTATAATGGGGCTGCAGGTGAAATAAATGTGTTTCTGTTTCATCTTTAGGTAAACTGTGAGCTCGTCTCAAGACAAGAAAGGCTTGGTGTCATGTTATGAATAGCTGAAATGTAATCAGCACTTCGCGTAGCCATTTGGATAAAAAGAATACTTATCATCTAAAATATTTCTTTAAGTTGCTCTAGGAAAACTAGTTTGAATTCTATTAAAGTACATTACCATTTACATCACCTAAATCAATGGTCTCAATTGACTTTTATTTTTAACGATCATTTCCTAAATGTATTTTGTCTATCCTAAACCCAAATGATACTCTCCTTAAATAACAAAAGCTGAGGATGCACTCGCTATTTTTGTTAACCTTATTACGGTCTGCATGATAATCCTCAGCATAAAATGTATCGCGCTACCTTTACTTTTGAAAGTAGAAGAATGTTCCTGCCGGCGAGGTCGAGGTATGGTGGCACTTGGGTGAATAATCATGAATGATAATACGGAGCTTTCGCTCGCTCCCTCAAAAGGATGTTTTGTCTAGTTTTACTTACATTCTATGCCCCCTGGATGTTTCAATTGTTTGATTAAAAAAGCTGTTTTAACTTTAACACCCACAGCCATTCCCTTTTAATATCTAAGTTGTCTTACCAAGAACTCCTCACTGAGAAAAACACCACCCTCGCACAACAACGACATTAGAAAAATAGAATTCGAGCAGAAAAATTGACAGGGCTCTTCTCAACGGGCTATGGATGTCTTTCTATTTTGAGACTGACTAAAAATATAACCCGAATACTATAAAATATGTATGTAAGAGATAAAGAGAAATACAGATATGAAGAAGTGGTTCCTATTTGCTCAGGTGATAATAAGCTTTCGATAGCTTTTCTCTCATGCGTCAAAGATAACGACAAAGAAAGATGTGGGTTAACATTTATGAGGAAAGCGAATGGTAATAAAGAATTCAACTTTTTATGCGCATCCTTAAATTTTTTGGCACGTCAGTAGTGGGTAGAAATTCTAAGCTTAAAAAAGATGGCGATGAAACTCAAATGGGTTTAACTAGCTTCTTCCTGAATTTTCTCAACTGAACCGTTCTTTCTCGAGAAGCATTGTGGGGAATCCGATAGAGTACTTAAACGCCATGACAATTAGCTTGTTGATAAAACTACTCTAGAAGATGTAGTTTAGTGCCTGGGGATTACCAATAGGAAAAACACGGACAGGTAGACGCCTTTGACGCATTTAGCATATGCGTTATAACCAAGTGCAAGCTGTGAGGTCGAGATAATTGAAAATTGGCTGAGTTTTCAACCTTTCCTTTTTTTGCGTTTGATGACGATGAGCGATTTTCTTATGGGAAAAAAACTGAATGAATTCGTGTTTCTTTCGTTTGACCCACTGTCTATATGTATTTGCGATGCGATTGCCATGGAAACTTCTAATGAACTAATTTGTTTATTACTTCAGATGGAGTTTTCTAGAAGGTTAGGAAGTCTGTTCTGAACCGGCTGCAAATAATGTTTTGTTCGGCAGGATCAAGCGGCCAATGTCAATCAATCTTACCCACTCGTACAGGCGGAGTTAGCCCCATATAGAAAGGGAAGTTTACATCTAATGCGCTCGCCATGCACGAATATTTCTTTAAACAAACATTATTATGTAGATTAGACTGATAATAAGTTACACGCTTCCCCTTTACGCAACCGAATCGATTGTATGTGAAAAGAAATTCTTAAAAACTCTTTCGTTTTTTTCATCAAAATATTAGAAGAATCGGCTGTGGAAATAACTTGGCGAAGATGAAAATTTGAAAAGGGAGTCGCTGCGCAACCCAAAAAAATATTAACACCATATTCCTTATGTTTTGTCTACTTCCACTCTCAACACACACGCTCAGGGGTTCAATTCTATATATTCAGTGTACATAGAGAGGGTAAGCAATAACAAAAGGCATGAACCACTTTAATTCACAGAGTAACAATGAGAATTTGGGTTTCCGGACTGCAAAGACGCTTTACCGACAAAAACTAAATTTTCCTTTTTTGAAAGATTTACTCGATAGATAATGGAAACAGACCCTTAGTCAACAGTTGGAGATGTTTGAATTAAAATAACAAAAAGAACTGTTCTTAAAGTTTATAAACAGACATGACCAGGCTCGTTCCCCGTTGTCTTGTAAAACGGGAAGTTTTCCGTAAAGTTAACACTCTCTATGTTTCCCGACAAAGGCCTTGTCAAAATGATGTGAAAAATGCGAAAAGAAGGCTGATAACAAACGATGGTGGTTATCCTGTAGAAATCAAATCGGCGAACAATCAAACGCTTCAAGACAGCGCAAAACAAATTGAAACTCAAATTCTCAGCGGGAATTTAAACCGCTTGTGAACGCATTTTTTTCAGAGCGTACAAAAATTATTACAATAATGATAATAAACATCTTCGGTCCACGCACACGATGATTCTATTGGTATGTAAAACGATAGGAAAACATATTATTTGGGTTATAGATAGACATCTCTGTTTTTTTTTCATTTTTCTATACAGCCCTTGAAATTGTCGAAGTGATGTTTTTAACAATTTTGATTTTGATGCTGTCCTGTTTGCACCAGATGTTCGCGAAATAATCAACATAGTAGCCAGTAATTAGTCTTTTTACCTTTAGAGCCCTGCAGTCAATATACAAACTCTTGTTGTTGATCTTTACTCATTGCTTATTGTACCTTTTTGGTAATTTACGCCTCAAAAACTTTCTTTGATGTCGAACCGCGCCTATATCTCATCTTTTTATTACGTTTACGGTTCGTTATAGCAATTATAATTTTACCTTGATCGTGTCTGGTTGAGCTTAAATCAGGTAGATAATCAGAATTGTTTTGAATCTCAAGCCGTACACTTTCAGCAGGAGACGACACCAGTTGCGAACTGTAAATCTGAACACAGATATAATCTTTCCAATTAACTACATACCTGCAGTACTCTCACGATACACTTCACCACTCCTGCTCTGGCAAAGTTGCGTACTCCGTTCAGGTGCCTGTAATAAAGATGAAAAGCCAAATAATTATTTGCGTTTTCATCTTGTTTGTGATCTCTGTGATGGATACAGTTGACAGCTCTTCAATAACACAAGAATTGAACGAAGGTACGATCATAAATTCATTTTATTAAACTAATGCCATGAGGTTTGAAAATATAGAGAGTTCTTCGTTAATTACAAGTGAGGTGATAAGGTACGCAATCCACTGAAACAGGATCACATTTCTCTGTTTGAAATTTACTGAAACACCCTTTGGATTAGTTTTAGGGAAGAGAAAATCCGGCTAATGGTGGAATATTCGAAATTTTTTTTGTGGTATAAATTTTTAATCAGAGAGTAAAACTGACGTGACTCCACCTAATTCTACGATTTCCCATGTAAAGTTTTAATTGATTTTCAGTTCGATATCTTGACACATTTTCTGGCTTCAGTCTACTTCTCTGTCATTCATTACAAAGTTTTTATTCAAACAAATTAAAATTGCCGTCATCAACGAGGGATGTGTAGCCTGATTCTGTAGACTGTAAATTAGAGATTGGAGTGGAGATTCCTGTGAAATCGAACAACTCAAAACAGAAATGTAGCCTTCACAAAGTTCGTTGATTATGACCCGTGCTTCAACTTGCGGATTCGATGATCGAGAAAAGATAGAAATTCAAATTCGTGTTTTCTCCTTCATCACATAACTAAATAGGGATACCTTCAGCCATGATCAGGCAATTCGCGAATTAAAGTTACCCCGCCGATGTAGTTTTAAACTGGAGCAGTCGTTTGATATCACAAACGACCCTCATAACAGAGCAAGAGTTACTCAATAATTTATGTCAAACCCTATTGCGGCTTTTTCCGCTTATCTTTCAGGGGAAAGTTGGCTGTCAAAACGTGGCAGAGGTGAGATGTAACTTTGGCCATCTTCTTACTTAATGTAATAGACCTTGTCATGGAAAGGTAATGTCAGAATGCGCTGAGGAAAAAAAGGGGCAGAGGGTGTATAAATCTATCAGGATAAGCAATTTCTCTCAGTTTCTTTGTATGTGCTAATCGATTAATGGAGATTTCTCTAAGGTATGCTCACAACACGATACTCCCCTAAAATTCATCTTATTCCACTTATTTGCTCAATCAAAAATTTAAATGTGGAGAACTTAGAAAAAAAGAGATCTGTATTTAAAAAAGTACTATATATTTGTCGACCACCATGCTGAATTCTCCAAGATCATCTTTCAGAATAAATGTTGGAGTGATTGTGTGCACAAATTGACATTTTGCTATCATGATCAATTATAGGAAAAGTTTGAACCGATGAGGATTCGTTTATTTTTTTAATCTACCTTTCGCAAATTTAGTTCCCTGATGCCAGAACTTGTTAATATCTCGATCGAGTTCTAGAAAAGTTTATCATGAATGTCAGTCGAGCGACTGCCTGGGTAATCATCCTGAAAAATTCGTTATTTTTCAGGATTATTTTTCTAATATTTGTCCGTAATGTCTGGCATCGCTGAGACCACTTTTTTTCCGAAAGAAGGAACCAGAAAAGTGAAAAAAAAAAAAAAAAAAGAAGCCCAGCCACTGGCCTATCTAAGGGTGGGTTGCAAATGGCTCTGTATCTACGGATCAGGGGTGTGGAGAGTATTTTTTTTTTCTTATTTGAGTAGGGGGTTCTCTTTTCGAAAAAAATTGTACAGCGTGGTAGAGTTCTTTTTGGCCTTTGTTTTGTTTTTGTCCCACGAGTCATAGTCAGGCTCGTGCTTTGTGACAGCTCAGTTAGTGGATTAGATCACTGTGCCTGGGGTTGGGATGAGGGGAATTTTGAATTTTCAAAGTGACTTTAAGTTTGCTGTTTCCTTGAAATGATATTAAATTTTTAAGACATGAACTTCATAACCACTAAAGAGTTATAAAGAATAAATCTTATCTTTGTTCTCCACACACGTCAAGGAAACAGGAAATTTCTCTTTGAGAAATGAAGACTACTTGTCTTCCAACCCATGGCGATATTATGGGATCCAACATTACTAATGAAAACTGATGATCCAGAGTACAATGCAGCTTACAGCTGCACAAACATAAACTATACAGTAACATCGCTACTCTTCCTGAATGGGATTTTAGCCCTCCCCCCCTCCACCAGCTCTATAGTTATTCAAGCTAATGCTCATGTTGACACACCTCTCTCAAGCAAGGCGAGCCTGA